GATATTGGAGAAGCTCGTGCTGCTCCGCCTGCTTCATCTGCCCCGAGGAGCTGCCTTTGCAAACAGAGTCCTCGTGCTGTAACTGGCTTGGAGCTGCCTTAGGAGGAGGAGGAGGAGGAGGAGGACGATGAGGAGGAGGAGGAATAATGAAAAGAAGAGGGCCTCTCTGAACGTGACAGGGAATACTTTGCCCGCAAATCACAGGCCCGTTGGCTGCCTTTTGCGGAGGAAGCCAGCCACGCGCAGGTTCGTCGAGCAATGCGCGTGCTCATCATGCTGTTGTTACCCCAGCTGGGCCCTTACTGACTGCGACCAGTGGTTACATACATTGCAATTCTTTCCTGTATTGTCACTGCTGGGGATGCGGCCGTCAGCGCGGCCGCCGCCGCCGCCGTTGGTGCTACTCCTGCCGCCGTTGTTTCGAGGAAGGACGCTCGTAGTGGGCTGGTGGTGCGGTAAGGCCGCGCTCCTTCCCCACTAGCTCCTGTCTGCTCCGCCTAGCAACCCCTCGCACGGTCACGCGTGCAGCTGCTCTTGAAGGAGGAGAAGGGTTAGGATGTGGAGCAGGATGATGATGATTCTGCTGCTGCTGCTGATGGGGATTATGATGATGAGGATGATGCTGGTTATGATGACGATGCCGATGATGATGATGATGATGATGATGATGATGATGATGATGATGATGGTGATGATGATGCTGCTGATGATGATGATTACCAGTGAAGATGACGACGATGATGATGCTAGTGCCGACACAGATGATGGTGCTGATGGTGATGCTGGTGATGACGATGATGATGACGATGATTCTGATGATGATGATGATGATGATGATGATGATGATGATGAAGATGATGGTGATGATGGTGATGCTGATGCTGCTGATGATGATGACGAAGAATGATAATGGTATGAATAAAACTAAGAATAATGATAAGACGAAACATAATTCGAATAATAATACTACGACGAAGAAGGAAACGAAGTCTAGTAATACGAAAGGTACAAAGACCTATGTGGTGTGCGTGGATTCGATGCACGTGGTGTGCGTATGTATGTGTGTTCTGTCCAGCCAAAGTATGTTCACCTTGTCTTTGACATGATATCTGGCTTTGGTGTCAGATTCGAGTTTATGCTGCTGACTAGCAGCATCTGTTCACAAAGACCTAAGAATAGTAGCAATACGAATACGTCGAATAATAATAATAATGATAATAATAATACTAATGCTAATACTAATAATAATAACAATATTAATAATAATACGAAATGAAAAAAAGCCCAATAATACTAGCACGACGAATAAACAGAAGGGTAAACATAATAATGATAATACGACTAATCATAATATTAGTGATGTTAATAACAATGGCAATAATAAGTACACCTGAGAAAACCCGCATTCAAAAGGCCGGTTCAGCCGACTGCCCCCGGTGCTGAGGAGCCTACCGCGCATTCTCCAGCGGGGGCACCCGCGGCGGAACAGCCAGAATAACCTTCTCCCAAATTGAAACCCGGGAGGAAGGTAGCTCTATTCCCATCTTCGCACTCTTCAAGCTCGCACAGGCCGCTTGAACCTGGCCCGCGCCGCGGCCCAAGCAGAAGAAGAGGACCAGTCCAGATGATGCCGATCCTGGTAGCATTAAGTCTCAGTGTTCTGCGGGGAAACCCGCCGAAAGACATTGCTCCAGAGGACCAGCAGTGGCCGCTGCAGCAGCAGCGTTTCAAGGCGACAGCACGCCTACGCCAAAGGATCCTGTATGCCTGCGCGGCCCGACGCCTGGGATAATTCACTGGACAGGCTGGGTGCCATCACGGGATGGATCATCCAAAGGAGCCTCTTCATCAAAATATTGTGCTAAGTTCGACGTGTTGGAAACTACCTCAACGGCATCAGGAGCGGCTCCCAAAATCACTCAATGCCAGTTCTTCGACATCCGTGAGAAGGGTAGGGCACCTGGGGGCGCCAGCTCATCGGCAGCGCCTGCAGCGCCTGAGCCAATGAGGATGTATGGCGAACCAGTCGCTGCTCCTGCGGGGCAACCCGCCGTTGCTCTTGAAATGCCCGAGGAATGCACGCGATATTGGGTGAACCTGGGCACTGCTGGCGAGATGAAGATCAACCCAGCGTGCAGGCCCCTCACTGACGACGGGTCTGACCGTCATGTAGTGGTGCAGTGTAGCGCCAAGTGTACTGCTGTATATGCAGACAACGAGGCTCGTTCACGTCAGACTGTCCGCAACGTTTCGCGGGAGGAACCTGCCCTCAGTTATCTATCCGAGAAGAAGTATTTGAGGGGGGTCTTTTAAATATGCTAACTTCATCGCAGCGGTACCGAACGAGCAGGACAAGGGTGAGTGCTCGGAATGGCTCACCACCGCCGCGCGTCACAAACCATTCCATCGCGACCAGCTTCCCGATGGTTTTGTCACAACTGTCACCACCTGCGACGAGTACGGCGGCTGGGTAGAGCTTGCAGATTTGGTCAACAACTGGCCGCCCGAAGGCCATGATAACTGGCATCGACGCCGCCTGGGAACTGTCGAGAGGTGCCTACGCAACCGCCATTGGGCCTATTAGGCACTGACGGTGCTGGACCTCCGCGGAATGCGTGACCATTCAGGCATGCAGAAGAACAGGCTCCAGGTGAAGCAGCTCAAATCCATTGGGGAGTCTCATCCGACGTACTTTTTGCGTCCAAGCAATGGGCCTGGGCATAAGATGTCCCGAGTCCCTGTATACAAGGGTAGCTGAATTAACATCGCCAGGGGCGCCCTGCTACTTTGTACATGGCACAAAATGGGTTAATGTCCCGAACGTACTCCATGTCGGGCTGTCATGCCGCGCCGATGGCACTGGCGGCGGAAGGGGCAGACAATGTGTTCATGGATGCCCATGCTTACCTGGAGATAACAGGAGCCAGTCATGCTTGCGCATAGATTCCGAATTGCTGGGTATGGTGAGTCTCAAGAACCTACTTCGTGACAGTATTTCAGTTAGGCGCTCTGTCAATGATGTTATTATGACGGCAGGCTGGGAAGGTGGGGTCCCGCCAAGCCACAATGATCAGCTCATAGGCATCCTGCCCAACAGGACTCAATGTAGACATGATCGAGTTGGACAGGTGTGGATTAATCTTCTATACATCGAGGACACGAGCGGGGCAACCTGCGTGCGCCCAATTTTCCCCCACAGCAGCATTGCTAAATTGCGTGCGATGCATCGGCGCGAAGGAATCGGACGATGCCGCAGACTCCCTATAACCTGAAGGTCCCTGCGACGACGCCCATGCAAGGGGTCGAATTCACCGCCATCTTGATGATGCAGGAGGGGTGCCAAGCGGGGGCGCCTGCAGGGGGTTCAGATGGATTATGGATTCAGACACAGAGTGTGGACGTGTCTGGTATGACATCCAACGGGATCGCGCCCAATGACGGGTTGTATGCAAACGACCCGTGGCGCGCCCAGGCGCAGCCGTTGCGCCAGTACTTGCAGGGCAACCTGCGTCGCTAACACCCGTGGGCAGGGCTACGACCCCATTTGGAACTCCACAGAGTGCTGGGGGTGCCAATGGTCAGCAGGCCAGGCTCCAGAGCATTAGAATGGACCCATCAGCCTTATCAGGCTTGCAAGCGACATCGCAATTGGCATCGCCACGTCCAATTGCGGGGCAACCTGTTGTTTCTGACCATGAAGCTGCACAGAGGGCCGAGAGCATGACAGGTCAGCGGCAGTGGATGCACAGGCAGATGCGCGTGGCCATGCAGAGCATGCGTCGGGATGGTATTGACCTCCCGAGCGCTGGCTGGACACCCCCAAGGGAGTATATTCCGGATCCGAACCCATCATCGGATCATCCGAATCGGTACGGGTATGTTCCAGCACTCTTCAGCCACCCGACGTGCGATCCAACGGGTGCTGACCGACCAACTGCGCCACCGATGGATGCACCGATGTTCCTTCGCTATCACGCTCAGGAGACGGGCGTTCCACGCGTTGGTTCTCAGCCGGGCAACCCGTATGTCCGGGCAACAGCTGGCGACTTTTTCCGGTCCCAGCTGACGCGCGGTGCCAGGCGCGAACCCGGAGTGCCAGTCCAAGCACCTCACTGCGGTTACTTCGCGGCCCCCATGGACCCTGATGTAACGCACAATGGCCTTGGGTTAGTGGCGCCGCTGTCCATGGGGGATCTGCGTCCCGAGATTCTGGCCATCCACGAGGCGCAGCAGGCCAACTTCGCCATGCATTGGCTTTCCAACGCCGTGACCAGGAGCGACAGGCACGCCGTGTGATGGGCCGTGCGGGGCAACCCGCTATTCTTGTTCCTGCGGGGATACCTGCTTTCAACCTGACATCGCTTGCAGCCGCGGGATCACTTCCTGCAGTGCAGCAGCCAACGGTCCCGCCGATCCAATGCGAGATTGGTGAGTTCACACTGGGGCGACAGACGCGCGTCCAGCCGTCGGCAACACCACCAAGCATCAGTGACGGTGATTTTAGCAAGTGTGCCATCTGCATGAGTAACTTCGTGCACCACGACAAGGTATGTATGCTTATGTGTGGCCACATATTCCACGCGCAATGCTGGGGTCGAGTTGCTCACGCACATGTGGGCCGACAGCTGGCAGGCGCGCTGGAATGTGCCGCGAGTGAGGCGCACAGTGCTGTTTGCCGGGGTGTTGGCCTCGTCGCAGCTGAGGTTCATTGCGCCTTCGCTGGAGATCAGAACGCAGAAGATCGTCATGAAGAGATACTCCGCGGGGCCAATGAGCTCATATACCATTGTGAAGAGCTCGACCGCATCACGGCGATGATGACAAACAGTGCAGCTGCCACGCTTACACCTGCGGGGCAACCTGCGTTATCATCAAATGCGGTACAGGCAGCGGCAGCTACCGTGCCTGCCACAGATGCGCCTATGCCCCTGGTAGCCGAATCAGCAAATAATGCAGGGCACCTGCTGCAGCGGCAACAGCGGGGTTACCTGCCAATGATC